TGTAGTTTCCATTGATACAATGAAACTTGTCAAAACTAAACCGGAGTTGCGCAAACAAATTAAAAGTACCAACTGGCTTCAAAAATTCCCCTGTCCCCGAATATTTTTTATGAATTTTTTTTAAATTTTAGTTTTACGCAATATTGCGAGGAATTTTTGCATGTTTAAAAAATTACAAAAACGAGATTTTCCCAAAAATTATTCCAAATTTATCTCAAATTGCTTTGCTTACAGAGGTTTTGAAAAATCGTTGAACCTTAAATTACAAAGATCGCTCGTTTTTGAAACGACTGACTGTAAATTTTGGCGCGACTTTAGATTTAATAAAGTATTGGATATTTACATTAAGTCTTTTCTTCAGAGTGTTAGCTCGGGCCTTGTGAAGACCGACTTCTTCAGTGGCTACGAGAAGTTCGAGTCGGACGACTGGTTCCAGATGCCGCACATTTTTGCCGAGGACATCGCTGATGCAGTTCTCTACGCCATTGGAACACCCTTACACGTGCAGGTACAAAACCTTTCTAAACTACTCTTCAAAGAGAGACACGTGTGGCGTCGTCGGGTGCGAGTATAAGACAGACACGAGTTGTTCTGTACAGATTTATTGACACGTTTTTATACACTCTACACTCCTCGGAAACTAGCGCTGCACTCCCAGAACTGCACATCCTTGAGGCATACACGCCTCAGTCGGAAGCAGGCCCCAGCGGATTGGTGTCGCTCCTGGTCTCTCGTCCCGTGGCAACCGCCACACCTCGCTGCCAAAGCTCGCGATAACCCCTGGCGGGTGAAAAGTGCCTTCCGCACCGCGATTCCGTTCGAAAACGAATGACCACGTCTGGTTACTCTCCAGCCGCCTCGCAAGCGGTCACGTGACAGACCTCCCATGCCGGCGGCGTCCTCTCATCCCGAAACATGGGCCTGTTTGCAATTTGGAGCCCAGTTGCAACACGGCTGAACTCGCCCATCATCTCCCTCTGCACCAGTTGACACCCGCGTTCCGAGACACGCCCGCCCCGGCCCTTGAGGAGGGCCCGCCTCTGGTGGCCTTCCCCTTGCCGCCAAAGGACTGCCCCCGCCCCCTCGCTGGCCTCCTGACATATGTGGTCCATCTGGCCCATTGACACGACGTTACACAAGTCAAATAAAAACTTAAAGGTCTACAAAGTATTCATTATTTCTTACAGAAATAGTATATCATCTTCAAGATTTTTATAAAATATTGTTATATTTTTACTGAATTAGAACTCTTCTAAAAGACGTATCACACAATACAACTCAATACGTAAAATTTTCGAATTGAGTGTTTATTTTATATTTTACAGATTCATGAAATGATTGTGAAACCCGCTGGAGGCGTTCTTTAGAAATCTCCTAGCTCTCTTTTCAACGTCTTCAATCCAGCAGCAGTTTATTAAGTCCTTTTTAGTCATATAACGCTAGTATCACGGAGGTTTTCCAAATGCAAACCGAAATCTCGTTCATTTGTCTTGGGAATTTACGTGATCTGCGCGGCCTTCCGGTACAATGGGATATCTGTGGCGGGACTATAGGGAGGAGATACCTTTACACACGGATATCATTAGGGGGGCGCATTTTAATGAAATGTCATTATTTTTCTTTTAACTTTAGAACAATGCTGTTTAGTATAGAAATGCATTTTAAATTAAGACAAAACGAAATGATGCGCGGAGATGTGGGCTTTACGCCCTGAGGAAGGTCGCAGAATGGCGACCGAAACGTCGGCACCTTCGCCATGGAAGCGGCGTCACCCGGACAGCCTAGTAAATACAAGGTCGAAATGGTTGAGAAGGGTTGAAGTGATGAAGGTTACCAGACTGGGCAGAATTCCACTTTTCGAGGTGGTAAACGGCCCTCGCAGGACAAAAATTTATTTCGCGCAATACCGCCCAACGGCGTGAAATACGTCAAAACATGTGCAGTTTTGGGCGATTTTTCTGATTACAACGAAATTTTCAAAAAACAACCGCAACAACGTTGACAATGAGTTGAATTTGTTTATTTTTTACATTATACATTATTTTTCATTAATCATTTGTTCATTTGTTGAAATTTATTTTGAGAAGTGAGTAATATTAGTTTTTAGGCCTCTAGTGTAGGTATGTTCGAAAAGTCTAATGGGCGTCCAACTACCAGCGTCAATGAAGGCAGTATTCAAGCAATGCGTGAGCTTGTTGAAGGCAATCGCCGTATTGCTGTTGGCCTTATTGAATCAGGGGTGGGTGTAAGAGTTGAAAGTGTCCATATCGTTCTATAGGGCTACCAAACTCCCAGCTTTTGGCGCTGGATATAGAGGCTATCGATTCACGGTATCCTCGTGACAACACACGGCCACAAGCACTAGCACACACTGACTACTTCTAGAACACTCACTTTACTGTTGGGACTTATTTTCGTTTGATTGCCATATGTTTCGTTCACTAAAGGAAGCAGTAGGAGGAGATTTGAAGACGACACGGACACTTAACATTACGTGCGTAATTTGATACTGCAGCATCCATCTTCTTTTCATGAACGAAGCAGATAATTTCTAATGCAATGGAGAAAATGTGTTTCTGTTGACAGTCTCTGGGGTGAAAAATGTGGGTTTCTATTTATATTTTTATGAATCACCCAAAAACGGGGTGTTAGAAAATTCCGGTTCGTCTTTGGATGACCTCCGTATTCTTTAGATTTTGTGACATGTCACATTTGCATCATGTTCTCGAAACGTAATTTGTCACTATTGTGTATTAGATGAGTGAATAAATATCTTTATGAAAAACAATTGTACAGCTTACTTCCAATGGAACCTATTTCCAAAAACACATTTATTCAAGGAGAAAAGGTTTTCAAATTCAGTGTTATACTTTAAGATAGGATTCAGCCGTTTTAGAATACCATTTAACTCGAAAGAAACTCAATATTTAAACTCTATATTTTACTGCATAATGAAATGTCCTTAGAATAAATTGATTCGTAAAACTACAAAACAAATCCAAATGGATATTCGTACTTTGGAAATAACTTCTTCAATTTATATGAACCATTAATTCCTAACATTACTTTCAAACGTTTTACTTTGCGAAATATTGTAAATCATGAGAGCAATTTTAAATCCCATTCATCAAAAAATGTCATGGAGTCGATATATATGCGATCTGGTAAATTGGTAATCAAAATAACCAAGTAATTTAAAAGAGCTTGTTAACATGTGATGCAAAATTATATGATTAAACTTCACACGTTATTTGAAAAAACAAAACCCATTCTCCTTACTTACTGATATGAAGATTAAATCGACCTGGAAATTTAGTTGTAACACTTTTATTGTTCTTTTCATTTTTGCACTGGAATACGTAAATATTTTTCGACTCCAGTCACTAATTTCAGAAAAGATTATACTAGAGTAATACACAAGGGAGGAAAACTGTACTTGCATTATTTTCTATAACATTTTTCTGATTATTTGATTATCATTATTTGTTGAATCATTGGCTGATTTTGATACGGACGAAAAGTATTTTGTTACGTGTGGTAAATTGCATATTATACCGAATAAAACATGTTAAATAGCAATATTAATTTGTACCAATATAGATACACCAAAAATCAGACCCACCCAAAAAATTTTTTTACAAAATTGGTTTTACTTTATTTACCGGTTTTTGGCTGTTGCAGTACGAACCACAAGGCATCCAGATGTTTCGCAAGGGAGTTTTTGAAGTCCAGCAGAAGTGATTCGGGGTCTGATTGCAGCTCCTGTTTCCAAAGAAACAATTACACATCGGCAGGCTGCGTGCAGGGATCAATTGAAGCTGCCCCAGTGGAGCAACAGTAGTTACAGCGTCTCGCATTGGGTGGGCCGTTGTTCTCGGGGCCGCGGCGGGCCACCCGCTCTCCCCGTCACGCTCCGGTTCCGTCCACTCCGCGGGGCCCAATGCTTCGTAGACCCGCCGCCGCGCCGCGCCACTCACGCTCCCCGCTACTCGCGCTCCCCGTCCCGCCGCGCCCTCTTACGTAGTTGCTTGTGCTGCGGAGTGCAGGTGCAGTTGGCTGCTGTCCTGATGACGGCTCGGGAGCAGAGGAAAGAGGGGGTAGGGGGGCGCGCGATGGCGGGGCGACGGCGGCGCGGCGAGCGTATGTCGGGCCGATTGCTGGGGGAGACGATGGGGTGGGGCAAGGCGTGAGAATGACGCGGGCGGTGCGGTTAGGGCTGCGGCGAGCGCCGGGCGTGCGGGGCGCGGACGTGGAAGGATCGTGGAGGCCGACGTGGAAGGCGGGGACGTGGAAGGCGGGACGTGAAGGGCTGGACGTGAAGCGTCGGCGGACGTGGAAGGCGGGACGTGCGAAGCGGACGTGGAAGCGGACGTGGAAAGCCGGACGTGGAGGCGCGACGTGGAAGGCGGACGTGGAAGGCGCGACGTGAAGGCGGACGTGGAAGGCGACGTGGGAAGGCGGAGTGGAAGCGGACGTGGAAGGAGGGACGTGGAAAAAGCGGACGTGGGAAGGCGGGACGTGGAAAGCGAACGGGAAGCGGGACGTGAAGCGGGACGTGAAGGCGGTACGTGAAGCGGGACGTGGAGAAGGCGGACGTGGGAAAGCGCGGACGTGAAGGCGGGACGTTGGAAGCGGGACGTGGATAGGCGACGTGGAAGCGGCACGTTGAAGGTGTCTTTCGGACGTGAAGCGACGTGCGAAGCCGGACGTAAGGAGGACGTTGGAAGGAGGACCGTGCGAAAGGCCGGGAAACGTGAAGCCGGACGTGGAAGCGGGGACGTGGAAGGCGGGACGCTGGAAGGCGGGACCGTGGAAGGCGGGACGTGGTGGGTGGAAGGCGAGCGGACGTGGAAGGCCGGGACGCTGGAAGCGCGGGACGTGAAGGCGCGGACGTGGAAGGCGCCGGGACGTGAAGGCGCGGACGTGGAAGGGCGGACGTGGAAGGGCGGGACGTGGAAGGCGGTACGTTGGGAAGCGGCGACGTGGAAGGCGGGACGTAGAAAGGCGGGACGTAGTGAAGGGCGGACGTGGAATGGCGGGACGTGGAAAGGCGGACTCGTGGAAGGCTGACGTGGGAGGCGGGACCGTGGAGGCTGGACCGTGGAAGCGCGGACTGGAAGGCGGACGTGAGGAGAGTGCGAGAGGCGTGAAGGGCGCGATGTGGAAAGCGGAACGTGGAAGCGGACGCTAGGAGGTGGGACGAGGCAGTTGGTATCAAGTCAGGTGCGGTGACCGAGTAGATTGTGAACATTAGAATAGAAGTGTGAAGTAGGAGGATGTGACAGAGCCGAGGAGCGAGTAGGTCCAACCAGATTGAAGCATTCCGCTAGAACCCGAGTTTGGAAAATGGAGATGTGAGGCAGGTAAGCTCTTTTACACGGCTGAACACCCACTGAAATGCACCGCATATACTACATGTCAGTCAATTAACCCTAAACCAGTTCAACCAGGCATAACAATGCTAATTGTTCTGTGGTAATACTATGTTATAAAAGAAATTACAGGGAATTTGATGTAATTTTTGAGAACATGAATGTCGCAAAAACCATAGTAAAAATCAACTGCAGTGGTGTCTCTCATCGGCGACTAGCTATAATAATTCGCTACCAAAATATAAACTTCTCTGAGAAGAATTTCCCACTGTTCATTTCTTACCTAGATTCTTATGATTAAAAATTCAGGAAAATAGCCTTTAATGGCTTGTCCGTATTCATTCCTTTCTGTGGCCCCCAAAAGATTTTAATAATTGAAAGTGTTTCACGCAATGGTGCGTAAATACTACCCAAAATTATAAATTATAAACCCCAAATATAATAAATGTTTTGTTCGGTAGCGAGATCGAGATTAATATGGTTAAATGTCTTATGTTTTCAAATGAACTGTCAAACCCCTTAGTAATGATGCGAATTTAATTTCTTTTGCTAATATATTAGCCTAAGCTGATTATGTGAATTATCTGACAGCTAAGCTTATTATTGTATGGATAATTCGCACAAGAATGTCTGTGTGCTGATTCAAGTTTTCACAAAAGAATCGGCCAATGTTATATACAAGTTCATGTTGCGAATGTTACAAATACGCTAGCTTCAAGTATTAGTTAAAAAGGAAGAGTAAAAATAAAAGCATTGTATGTACTGGAATGGCATTTGAAAATAATGCTTAGAAGGATTTTATTTTCAATATATTTGACCACCCTTTTGCAATAGATCGTGTGTGCAACCAAGCGTCTTATGCTAGGTGAATTCGATTGAGTCCAGTACCCAAATTATCATTCTAGGTCACAGTCCTAGCGTAAGTAGCAACGAGGGCTGTGTGAAAGGATTGTCATTTATCGACGGTATTTCCATGTGTGAAATTAAAAGCCAGATAGTGCTTATCTATACATTACAAAAATGCTCCCAATCAAGCCAGTGGATCTGCAAAAACGTTTATTGCTTGTGTTCTGATCCGATTTTTGTTGATGTACCTGCTTCTAGCACAGGCCATATAAGTAAGACTGGTGACTCATTTATCGATAGTAGACGGTTATACACTCGGCATCGCCTTTATATCGATGGTCCAATACCAGCGTAGGTACTATGACAAACCTCTTTAATGTTTAACAAGAAGCATTAAGTGTGTATATGTCGAATATTAGCGGCAGCGATTGAACGGTCTATGGAGGCTTAATTTATGAAAATTTCATGAAGAAGCTCGGTGTAGGAGTAGTTGCGTGGCGAGCGGTTGAGCCTGGGGGTAGAATTCCAAGGCACCGAGTAGAATTGTAATTGTGAACTGTTTCACGAACCGAACTGTTGAGATAACCGAACTGCTTATTATTATCCGTTATGTTAAGTTTGAAAGTCTGTTAAGTGTGACGTCCTTTTCAGTTAAATTTTCCCGTTTCTATTGCCATCCCAAAATTCCATTCTCTGGTTACTATGTGCAATACGGATGCTGCAGTGGTAAAGATCTAAGAGGCTTTAAGCGTAGATAGCATAAGTAAGCTTGTTTTGTTTGTTTACTCTGATAACGTTAGTATGTGACTTTGAGTGGCCCAGACAGCTCTGTACGAGGCTATAGCCTATCGAGCAGCTTCCGGCACCTTCGGCTATGAGTTAGAGTGGTACGCTGGGTTATCACTATTCCATCGCCTAGTGCGTATTCTGGTCCTTTCCTCAAACCTGAGAGAGTAAGAGGTCTCAGTTTCGTTTCTGCACGGCAACAGATTACTGGCGACATTGCAAGGAAATCGACCAAATTAATGTTTGTTCCAAACCCCCGTGAATCCAAACCCCAGGCGTTTGGCACCGAGGAAAAGCGTGTTAAATTACTGTGCAATCAGCCAAATTTTTCTACACTAGGAATCGGAGCTCATCCACGATACACTTACTGGTAGTGCCTCTTAAGCAAAAACAAAATATAGCTAAAACATTTTGCAAAAACAACCAAACCGGATCCTGATTTGATCATACATTTTCACACTTTATCGTGAAAATATGGAATGCCAATTATTTCTTTAATATATCCCCGTGATTCATCTTCTAATTTTTTTTTTTTTTTCTTGGGTGTCTCAATGTTTCCTGAATTTTGAAGTAAATTTAAAATTAATTATGTTGTCTTTGTTATTCTTTAATGGAAATTGTTAATATATTTCATTCAAACTGGAAGGTATAATGTTGACATTAATTTTTCTTCATTTGACCCGAAGAATATTTGAGTTTATCAATGCAGCTAGTAATTTCATTATTATTTTTATTGACTAGTAACGTACTGTGATGAGGGAGAGAGCAGAGTGCAGCGGATAGAAGTATTTTAGGAACTATTCGCAAGACAGAAAAATAAATCAAAATATCTGCATTATCGTCACATTCAGTTTACATATCGTAGAAACTTAGGTTAATTGCTCTCTTTATTCCGCAAGTGATTTGTAATGAGTATTTTATATTGGTTTCGCTTACGCGTCTTGTACTAAAAGTCATTAGTTCAATAAGTTATGTGCATTGTTATGTTTCGGAATGGTGACAGTGTTCTCTCCCCACCTTGTATACTCTTCCCTACAGATCTCCCAAAGTATGGCACCGCGTAGCTTCGTGTACAAACTCTTAAATAGTTTGCCGGAATACTGATTGATCATTATATAGTGTTTCCGAGCTCTTCTATAGATTATTAGTCAGTAAGTGTTGTGATGTTTCTCCTCGGATGTGAAAGTAACATTTTCCCGCTGATGGAGATCTGGGGCCCTAACCCGCCAACGTGTCCGGCCTAGTGGTTTTGATTGTTTAGTGTCTTCTGGACACCTGGTCAACTACCAGGAATCATTAGCCCGCAAAGTGTAGGGTAATGTTTTGCTCAGAGAAACTTGCCGTGATCTTTCCCTCGCTCTATTGGCGAGATCGGCACCGACCTACTGTCGGCTAGCAGGGGGTTCTCAAACAGTATCACCCACTCAGCGGGGCATACTGTAACTCCCGACTAGTCTCTCGCATATTTTGGGTATGTATGCATGCTAGTGTAAGTGTAATGTGTGTGTCTGTGTTTGTGTGTGTGTGTGTTGTGTGTTGTTTGTGTGTGTGCTAAGGGAGAATAGTAGCAAGCCAAAGATAGGAAAAATCAGCGCGCGTCCGTGGGTCTTTTAAGTGGGTACTACTTAAGGCAATAAGCCTGGTATTGATCGGAGAACCACAGAGACTACCGATCCATCCCGCCTATATTCTCAGCCAGTCGCGCTGTCTGCGCCCCCAGCTAGTCCGAATTAAAAAAAAACCTCCACCGACAGAAATCCGCCGTACAACGATCTGGTTGCGGTCGCCCTCCTCGCACCGCAAACATGTAGTGTGAAGCGTGCTTCTCCTTCCACTTTCAACACGCACATGCTTTTTCAGATATTATTAAAAAATAACGAATAATAATAATAATTGATGACGTGAAATAACTGATAAATAATGATAATAATAATGAAATAATTAATAATAATAATGATAATAAATAATAATAATAATAATAATATAATAATAATAATTATAATAATAATAATAATAATAATAATAATAATAATAATAATTTAAGAATAATAATAATAATAATAATAATAATAATAAAATAATAAATTAATAATTATAGTAATAACATTTAATAGCCGAGGACCGTTTATATGGCAGTAGTGCGTAGTGATCCTCGGACTGAAGCAAAGCGGTCTAGACCCGCCTCGCATGGTGTATTTTTGTTCGTGCCTTTCCCCCCTATCATCAGCATATCGTGTTATCTACGAGTCAATCTCGTTATTATGATTGTTTTGTGTTCGTGCCCTTCCACTCCCCCATCATCACCCAATTCATGGCAATCTACACCCTAGTTACCATAAACCCGTTAAATACAATAGTAGTCGCTAATGACTCATATGATGTTCATACGACAAAAGAAACAACAAAAAAACGACTCGCATTGCTTCTATCTATTCCTAAGTGCCCCAGACCTCCTTACTTCGCTCCCTCCTGCCGCCCGCGGGCGTCTACTTGTGAAGCGCGCAGGCGAGGACAGCTCGGCGCCGGAGTGAGCCATTCCGAGGTATTTGACTTTAGGCTGTCCGGGTGACTGCACGCGTCCATGGCGCGACCCGAAACCGGTCAGCACCTTCGCCCCCATGGACCGCGTCACCCGGACCAGCCCCAGATCATTCTTTTCTAAGTTTACTAGCTGTCCGGAAGACGCCGGCGATAATAAACGTGAGCACTCTCTACACCGTATATATGAGTCTCGCAGCATGCTGTGACGAATACGATTGGCACCTGCGGTTCCAGGATCGCGACGTCTCCCAGAAGCCACCAAGTATCGTAGAAGTTATTTTATACTTAGGCTGTCCGTTCGGTTGACGCATTTACGCCCTTGAGGAAGGTCCGCAGAATGGCGACCGATACGTCGTCGACCACCTTCGCCAGGACGCGCGTCATACCGGACGCTCCGTAGCATAAAATTCTTGGACTCCGGCCGCGGAAGCCTACCGCCTTCTCACACCCGGTTAAGGTGGCTCAGATCTCGCCGCCGGAGGTCAAGCCGCCGCGCCTTCGCAGGCGCGTGCCTGTGCTCCGGCCGCAGCCGTGAGACGGCGTTCTCTGGATTGGCCCTTGCAGGCCCTCGACCCCTGCCT